ACAAAAATCCACCTATTATTTTCTGGAAAAATGGAGGATCTGGCTACCAGGGGCCAGAGTCCTGCCAGCCATCTGGATGGGCACAGATCTCCACCACTCTGCAGCGGTCAGCATCATCTTGCTCTCCCAAAGCTAACAGACATTTTCTTGGAGAAACAAGGTATGACTGGAAACCAGGGTGAATATTTACATTTTTAAGATATTTATTATAGGGGCCGGGGAGATGGCTCAGTAGAATAAGCGCTTGCCTGGCAAATTCAAGGGCTTGAGTTCAATCCCTGGTTCCAGGAAAAAAAAAAAAAAAAAAAAGATATTTATTATAGTATAAAACAAGTTGCTGTTAACCACTCTCAAAATTCTCACCCTTGCCTCACACAAGACACCACATAACTCTGCCACTTTCTGAAGTAGCTCTGGGGTCCTCCTTCCCAAGTGTCTGCAGTTGTCCTGGCTGCTTTGGCCTCCTGAACTGATTCAAACGTTGACTTATAACAGTCATTTCAACTTTGACAAAGAGTCAGAAGTTGGATAGTGCCAGATACAGTAATTAAGGGGGATGAGGTCGCAGCACCGTGCTTACAGAAGCCTGCCTCCTCGGGACCAGCCTGATACAACACAGAGCAGGCAGTAATCAGTATGCATAAATTGGTACAACAACATGTGGAGGGTCTGTCCTAAGCCTGCATGACTTGTGGTAAGAACTCCCGCTGGCTTAAAGACAGATTAATCCCTAAGCCACCAGCCAGAGCTGAGACTAGAACAGTCTGTGAGGTCCTGGCGTGTCAAGGCAAGAAGACAACATGGCAACTGAGGACTTGGCTTGCGCAAGATGGCTCTAGCACGGTGGTTGCTATCAGCACGCCATCAAGTTACTAGTTAACCCTGATCCGTTCTGATGTGCTTTTCCAAAATTGCATCGTTCCTCAGCTCCTGAACCTTGAGGCAACAGCAGTCCATCCTCACCAATTCCTGCAGCCCACCAGCACATCCCCGAATCAAGCTATGCACCCAAGAGGCCAAGGACACTGTGCCTCACAGCGCTAGCTTGTCACCGGGCTTTGACCATGCTGCTGCCCCTTTTAACTAAAGTATGTTTTATCTGTGTTTTATTCTGCCATTGTATCTCTGAGCAGGAGATCAGTGGTCCCGGGACAGGGTGCGGACGCTTGCCTTCTGCTGGATGGCACCTAGCAGTGGCAGTGACCATATTTTTGATTGCCCCTCGTAAAAACACATATCAAACAGGACTTTTTGGGGGCCAAAGAGATGGCTCAGTAGAATAAGCGCTTTTGTGGCAAGCGTAAGAGCCTGAGATCAATCCCTGGTTCCGCAGAAAAAAAATAAAAAATGGACTCTCTTGTTTGTAGGATAGGAATCTAATTTTTTTTTTTTTTTTTTTTTTTTTTTTACAAATTTACTCTTTTTTTGCTCTTACAAAGCAATCAAAAGAGGACTGTCTGACCTTCCTTCCCATGAACATTTTTAAAGAGGGGCCAGGGGAGATAGCTCAGTAGAATAAGCACTTGCCTGGCAAGCACAGGGTCCTAAACTCAATCTCCAGTACCACCAAAACAACAACAACAAAAAAATTAAAGAATAACATACATACGATTAAAACTAGCACTAGGGAGACAGCTCAGCAGTCTAAGCACCTGCCTGGCAAGCACGAGGATCCAGGTTCGATCCCCAGTACTGTATCGCTGGTACCACATGCTGTGCTGGTCCTGCTACTGAAACCCAGCCTGGTGGCACACACCTGTAATCCCAGAGCTGGGGAGGCTGAGATGGGAGGGTCCCTACGAGCCTGAGCTGCATAGCGAGACCCTGTACCAAAGAAATAAATACAGGATTTAAAAAAAAAAAATCTCTCTCTCTCTCTCTCTCTCTCTCTCTAAATATATGGCTGCATTTCTCTTTCCTTCCTGCCTTCTCCACATGAACAACTGCATATTATACTAATTTACAAAAGCATAAATCTGCATAAACATATCTTTAATTTTACACAAAAGGAAGCATGCAATTTATAGGGTTTTTTTACTTACAACCTATTTCAGGGATCTTTCAATATTAGCATATGTATGTACATACCTGTTTAATATGGCACAGAAAACATTCCCTATTATTCCATATCAAGAAACTAATTTATTTACTTTTTAATCAGGTTTTATTAGTACATTTTAGATATACACAACAATTACATTCATCACAGAATCCCTGTACCTGATATAACCTGGTTTTCTCTCCCATTCCTCTACCATCCCTTCAACCCTCTTCCCTCCCCATTCACAGGAAACTAATATTATGAATAAATATATCACCAGGTACTTCAAAAAATGAGGACGCTTCTGAAATATATACCCAGATGTTCTATCAAAATCACTAATTTTTGGACTTTTGGACTGGGGAGATGGCTCAGTAGAATATGCACTTGCCTGGCAAGCGCAAGGGCCTGAGTTCAATCCCCAGTACCGCAAAAAAAAAAAAAAAAAAAAGAGTAATTTTTGCACAGGGGCCAGGGGTTCAATCCCTGGGTCTACTGCACAGGCCCTGCCCCCAGGGCACACTGACACACAATTGAGACTAGGCATGGTGGTGCACACCTGTAATCCCAGCCCCTGGGAAGCTGTGAACAGGTGGATTACTATGAGCCCAATCTAGTAGTGAGACCCTGAACACTGTGTAGACCTTTCCCTAAAATACAAAAAAAAAAAAAAAAAAAAAAAAAAATTAAATAAGTAAATAAAAAATCTATAATTTTTTTTTTAACAGGCAAAAAGAACCACTTATTATTCTCACTGGTTTCATGTGCCAAGACTTTGAAAGGGATGCTACGAAGCTGACTTGCTGGGCTATCTGGGGGCCTTGGAAGGACTTGAAGGCTTGAAAATCAATAATTCATTCTAGTATTACCTAATATCTAGTTCACATACACATTCCCAAATTATCTCAGAACTGTCTTCTTAAATTACTTTATTTGAAAATCTATACATTTCTTATCCAAGTTAAATGGAGGGATGATTTAAGATTTGCTACACAATGAAAACTGTTGAAACTAAGTGGATACATGTAAAACTACTGTATTGTCATATATATATATATATTCAGAACAAAAAGTTAAAGGAAATTGCTATGTTAGAATCCAAACAAAGAAAAGGCCACAAGAGTCAGTAACTGCAAAAGTAAATATCAGGGGGCTGGTGAGATGGCTCAGTGGTCTAAAGCACCTACTTAGAACAAGCTTAGCAAAGCACAGGGACCACAGTTCAATCCCCCAGCACCACATGCCAGCCAGCCCCGCCCCCTGGTGGGCTGAGCTGGCCACACACACACACACACACACACACACATAAATAAAATTTTTTAAAAAGTAAATATCAGGCTTATACAAACACACAAAAATGCTACCTAACAAGTAATGCACATTAATGCAGCAATATACAATACTGAGGGACAGGAGGCATTGATAGTGGAAGTACAAATCAGTATTTCAGAGGTTGTTTTGTTTTTGTTTTCTGAGACAGGGTGTTGTTATGTAGCCCAGGCTGGCCTTGAACTCCCTGCAATCCTCCTGCCTCAGCTTCCTGGGTCCTCCGATTACAGGCATATGTCACCATGCCCAGCTCTCAGAGGGTTATTTAGCTTTATTTTTCAGTTATAAACGCACATCCCTTGGCCTAGTAATCCCACTTCTAGGAGATCATTCTGCGGCTGTTCACTCCTCCAACAAGCCTCTTCTGCCACCTAGGTGCCAGGTGCCGGCGATACAGGAGCCTGCTCCAGTGTGCTTGTAGAAGAGTCACAGGCACAGCAACTATGCACGCAATTACAGCGATCATAATGTCAAGCAGCTGACCAGGCAAACAGGGCTGTGCTGCAAGGCTTCTGGAAGCCCGCAAGACACGGGTTTCCTAGGGCAGAGGCAGCAGGAAGCCCTCAGGGTGACACACAAATTTGGTCTTGTGTTCCTGTTTTGCTTTATTCTCCTAACTGCCTCGTGTTTATCCAAAGGATACCACTCAATGTTTCTGATACAACGAAAGCCAATCAAGGCCTTTTCCTTCAGCACACTCTTGGGGGAGGGGAGTTGCCAGGATAACACTGTTTCCCCCCAAATACTACTGTGCACAGCCATTTGACTTTTCCAACCTACCAAACTAACCACAAGAAGGTTAGTAAAATGTATCCGAGACAATTATGAGCTCTTCGGTTAGACAAACCTTTCCAAAGAGAACAATCACCTTCACAAAAGCTACTGATCAGTTACTGGTTTTATTAAAAAATCAAAACTCTCTTCGCTCCTGGCACAGGAAAATCACAGACTTACTTTTAATTTGACAGTCATTTAAGCACAGATGTCCAAGTTTGGATTTTCTTTCGAGGCAATCTGGACAAGTACTACACACTGAAGTGCTCTATGTCAACAGACGGCATTCGAACTGACCTCAAAGAAAGGACTCTGCCCAGACTACTGAGAGGGTTACCTTCTCATTTCCGCAAACATCAGGAAATGCCGAGGCTTTCTAATTATCATGAATGATATGCTCTAGCCAACAGCCAGATGGTAAGAAATCTGTTTCTGCGAGCCACGCTCCTCTCCGGATTTTGAAATCAGCTTTACATAACCACCGATTCCTTTCTTTCCCCAAGCCACTTCTTCAAGACTCCAGATTCCCAAGGAGACCGGAGCCCGCGAGCAGGCTGCTAAGCGCCAGGGCTCGTGCGCCGCCAGCCGGCCCGCGGAGCATCTTCCCCTCCAGCCTCCCCTCCGCCCTTCCCCGGCGGGGACCAGCAGGCCACCCCTTCCCCAAGGTCGCGGCTCCGCGGGCGGGGCCTCTGACAGCCCCAGAGGACCAGAGGACCCGAGACCTGGCGCAGCGAGCCGGGGTCCTCGCCGGCTGCAGAGGGGACGGGGTCCGTCCAGGGACGGGCGGGGCCCCGCGGCCAAGCCGCTGGATGGAGGAGCGGCACGGGGACAGGCCCCGGGTCAGGGGTTCGCTCACCTGCCCATCGCCCGCTTCATGTCCGCGTCCGGCGCGCTGCGCGGCTCCGCCGACCCCGGGCCCGCCAGGCGCAGGTTCCGCTTCAGGCGGCAGTCGGCGTCCAGCGCCGCGGCGGCCGAGCCGGAGGAAGACGAGCCCGCGGCGGCGCAGCGCTCATGCTCCAAGCTGCCGGGCTCGGCCCGCTTCCTCATCCCGCGGCCCACAGCCTGGCCGCCCTCGGCGTCCGCTGGCCTCGCCTGCCCGCAATCGCAGCCCGCCGCTCGCCGATCGGCGCTCGCGGCTCGTCGCTCGCCCCTTGCCGCCGGGAGCCGGAGAGCCGCTCACATCCCCGCCGCAAGCCCGCGGGCGCCTGCGCCGGGCTCCTCCGCGCCGGCCAATCAGCGCCCGCAGCGGGAAGGCCCCGCCCCTCCTCCCCTCCTCCGCGTTCCGCGGCCCCGCAGCCTCGCCGGAGCAGGGCGGGTGACGCTGCGGCCGTGCGCAGTCGCCAGGCGGAGCTGAGCTCCGGTCCCGGTGCGCAGCGGACTCGGTTAGTGCTTTGTGGCCACTTGAATCCCCGTGGGAGGGAGTGGCCCAAACCAGAGGACACTGGAAGATTACCGAGAAGAAGCAGATCACCCGGCGACACGAACCGCAGCGCAAAGCGGGAGCCCCAGCCCTGGCACTCCGCGATGACCTTAGGCAGAACACCCAGCGTTGTCGCCAGCCCGGACACCCTGAGATGTGTCTGGTCAGGGCACCCCCGAAATGTCACTAGACTTTAGGCAAACTAACAATCAACTAATCACAATTCTGTTCTAATAATTTATAGCTGTCTTACCACGGTAACTTTTTTTTTTTTTTTTTTTTTTATCCTTTTGAAACAGGGTCTCATTATGCAGTTCAGGCTGACTTTGAGCTCACTTTATAGCCTAGGCTGGTCTCGAACTCACAGTGATCCTCCTGCTTCAGCCCTGGGATTACAGGCGTGTGCTACCATGCCTGGTGCATCCAGATAATTTGAAAAAAAAAAAAAAAATCATAGATATTTAACTTTGGGGTCTAATGTATGAAAAATGATACGTTTAAACAAGTTACTCTTTGAAAACCTTTGTTAGATTTTAGCTCCTTCCGAACAAAGCATAACTGACTTCTGTTCAAATTTTATCTAACAGTAAGTCCAAAGATAGGACACAGTGACTTGAAGATAAAAGGAACTCAGTTTCCTTGGCTTGCCCCCAATTTTTTAAAATTTTTTTATTCTTATGTGTTTGCAGTACATAATGACTGCATTTGTTATAGGGAGTTTGTACATGTACACCACACATCTTAACTTTTTACATCCCATGCTCCCAGTTTTCTCCAGTAGTGCTGATGCCTTAAATTAGAATGATGATCATGTAATTACATCCCATGAAGTGATAATATCTTTGCCAATCTCCGCGTACACTTCCCTTCATATTCCTGGACACTTGGGAGGATGGGCTCAGACTGGCTTATCTCCTGTAATGTTTGGTAACGGTCTTTAGAGATGCAGTTTCTACTGTTTTTAAATGTATTTGGTACAGGGTCTGACTATGCAGCTTGGCCTCGTAGTGATCCTCCTGTTTTCAGCCTCCTCAACGCTGGGATTACAGGCATGCACTGCCTCGCCAGGTCTCGGTGACCTGCTGAGTGCTGGCAGGCAGCACGGCGTGGGGTGGGGAGGATCGAACCCCAGTCACTGTGCTTGCCCTCTGAGCTATCTCACTGGCCTGCAATTTTTACTTTTTGGATCTGGGGAGATGGCTCAGTAGAATAAGCGCTTGCCTGGCAAGAGCAAGGGCCTGAGTTCAAGCACCAGTTCTGCTAAAAAACCCAAGTTTTACTTTTTAAGGTTAATCTAAAAATAAGTTTAGGGCCAGCCAAATAAATAGCTCAGCGAATTAAAGCACTTACAAGCAGGTGCAGGGGACAGGGCTTCGATCCCCAGGCCTGCTGTGTGCGCCCCACCACAGGCCGCACTTACAGGCAATTGAGACTGGATGTGGTGGAGTGCACGTGTAATCCCAGCTCTTGGGAGGCTGTAAACAGGCAGATCACTAAAGTCCAATCTAATATTCAGACCCTGAACACCCTGTAGACCCTTCCCGACCCCCCCAAAAAAAAATTAAAAAATGAGTTTAATGCTCTAATACAAAGAAAGTAGTAACGACATTCCTGGAAAATTGAATGTTCATTAATGCCCATTTGAAAGTGCCTTGGGATTTATGTGAAAAGTACAATCTGGGCTCATGTTTAGCGAAATTGGAAAAAAAAAATAGATTTTAGGTACTTGTAAAGCAGTTAAGAGTCAGGTGTGGTGGCAATCGCTTGTAATCCAAGCACATGAGAAACAGGCAGGAGGATCCCTGTGAGTTGAGGCCAGCCTGAGAGCTACATGGGGGACTCTGTCTTGAAAAGCAGAAACTGGAGGTTTCGCACCTGCCTGGTAAGCGTGAGGTCCCTAGTTGATTCCCAGTATAAAAACAAATGCCCAAAGGGGAAAGGGTGTGTGACTAATTTTGAACTGAAGGTGCAAAGAAATCCATTTCAAAGATGAATTTGGAAAAAAAAAAAGATGAATTTGAACTTGTAAAATCCAAATTTAGTATTGATTCCACCCATCTAAAGAGATAAAAGAATACACATCATTTTCTTTTTTAATTAAGTTTATTGGCACATTTTAGGTATGCATGATGGTCACATTCATCATAGGGAGTTTGTACCTGTACATGGTATTACTTCCTTTCTTTTCCCAACCCCCTGCCCTCCTTTCAACCGCTCTTCCGCTCATTACTGACAAAAGCTTTATTTCCATTATCCTTATTTTCTCATTTTTTTCTTTCCCCTTCCTTTCTTTTCCCCTCCCTAATTCTTCTTCCCATTTGAACATCTTCTTACTATTTCACAGTATCCATTATATATTTTGGTTCTTTTTTTGCCATAATTTTATTGATAAACAAATAGCAATGAGACAGTTTCAAATCAAATCAGTAGGACAGTTTCAATAATTAACACACTGCATACATTCTTCTTAGTGGTTAATTGCTGTACAAGATGCGGACTTGATATCCTATTTACAAACACCATTAGAACAAATCATTTATATTTTGGTTCTTAATGACAGATTTGGTTTCTCACACCAGAGAAACAATCCGCTATTTACCCGTGTGTGTCCAATGTGTTTCACTTAAGAGTATGGTGTCCAGCTGGTCATGGTGGCACATACCTGTAAGCCCAGCACTCAGGAGGCTGAAGCAGGAGGATCATTGCAAGTTTGAGACCAGCCTGCACTATAAAGTGAGCTCAAGGCCAGCCTGAACTGCACAGGGAGACTCTGTCTTAAAAAGACAAAAAAAA